CAGGTCGCGCAGGCCGGGCAAGGTCGCGTGCAGGCCGCGCCAGGCCACGTGCAGGTCGCGCCAGGCCAGCCAAACCAGTGCCCGGGTGGGACACCAACTTAGTAAATTGTTTGCCTAGTTGTCACAAGGTGCCACGTGTCACAATTTCACTGGAAGGCCAAATCTACCCTCATCAGAAATGAAATCTCATTCTTGTTGATTCTAATGTTCATTTTCATTTTTATTTATACCAAATAAACTATAGAAATAGACCATTTCTATTGCAATTCTAATTTCAAAGGATTTCGGTTCCGATAGAACAAAAGAGTATGGGTTCCTCGGATAACCGTAAGTTGTTTATCCACCCACCCAAAACATTAATCATCTCCCAAGGAAAATGCGACCGGAACACTAGCACAGAAATTTACTTATAACTCTTGCCGAGGCCTTATTATTCTTTTCCGTATCATAGATTTTTCTCTAAATGGGTTCAACTTCGGGTGTTATTTCTCAAAATCCATGATCGATCAAAACTCTTTCCATACTATATCTTTTTCGTGTGTTTGTCTATAGATAAATAAATAAATAAATAAAATACAACAAGTAGTATTGGTCCTGAAATCAATGCAAACAACGTACCAAAATTATTTATGGATCACTTAGCTATAGCTAATTAATACAGCTTAGGCTCTTCCCTGAGAATATAAATAGAGGAGAGAGATGGGTTTTCTGCATCAAAACATTTACAAAAGAAATGCAAGGGTTCATACACAAGGCTGCATCTTCCATTCTCTTTATCGTGCTGGTAGTGCAGGCAGTTTCGGCCTACAAGAAGAGGCCGGAACCTTGCAAGAGGCTGGTGCTCTACTACCACGTCTTGTTCGACGGCACCAATGAGGCCAACGCTACATCTGCCATTGTTTCCAACATCACCAAGCTCGGCGACTTCAATTTCGGACAGTTTGTAGTTTTTGACGATCCTATGACCGATGACCACCACCTTCTATCCCCGCCGGTCGCCCGGGCGCAGGGCTTTTACTTCTATAACATGAAGACTACGTACAATGCCGGATTTGCTTACAAACTGATATTCAACTCAAGCGACTACAAAGGAACCCTGAACCTGATGGGTGCAGACATAATTGCTCAGGAGGCTCGGGACATTTCAGTGGTGGGTGGCACAGGAGACTTCTTCATGGCAAGAGGGATCTGCACATTACGAACTGATACATTCCAGGGTAATGCTTATTTCCGTCTGCAGATGGACATCAAGCTGTATGAATGTTATTGATGGAAGATCCAGACTAGCTAGCTCCGCAGATCTCGAATGTATATTCATCATAAAGGAGTATGTGAACTAGATTTGGATGAGTGAATAAATAGCCTTATCTTTTAATGGACATCGTTAATTTACCAAAATTACCCCGTCGTTATTCAACCCACAACCCAAGCATTAGCCGCTGCTTTCTTCCTCCTTGGGCCGCTGCATCTCCTTTGTTTGACATTGAAGAACAGGATATGACGCAGCGTGGAAGCAATGGAAAACCGGAGCTGGCTATGCAAGCACCGGACGAACCTAGTTTCTAGCGAAATTATACGATTTCTTTAGGAGAGAGAAAAGATGGCAAAAATTGAAGAGGAAATCTGAAGAAATTCTGAAGTATGAATTGATTAATAGTTCTGGGAAATAGCAGTATTTATAATACATTGAGAAATTGTAAAAGAACTAAGAAAAAAAATTAAATTTGATCTAAACATCTCAAACTTGTAAATAGGATCGAGCTCTTCTTGACTTGATCTCCACTGTCCGATATCCCTTCACCTTATCCATGCATGTATCTTGGATTATCTAGAATTCTTGAATTCTTGATGAGTCTTGGATTCTTTGAATTCTTGATGAGTCTTGGATTCTTTGAATTTTTGATGAGTCTTAGAAGAGTCTTGGTCTATCTTGATTCTTGGATCTTGTTAATCTTAGATTCTTGGTTAGACTTATTCTTATCCTTGGGGCTGCCACCCCTAGGGGTGAGATGGGCCTTGTGATGGGCCTCCATATGCGTCTCTGAGAAGAAGAAACTAGATGCGATTAAAAAATTTCAGTATGGTATTGGCTGAAACCATCTTCTAAACACTTCGACATTTAGTCAAAGTAAAAGAGGATTAAACAGGCAGTGACCATACAAGTAGATGTCTGGATGGAATTAAATGAACATGGATCAGAAATTTCAAAACACCTTGCTTCCGTTTACGTTTCGTTCTATACCAGTGATGAACCTCCAACCCTAACCTTCAAAAGAGTCTCTTAAAGCAGTGAGATACTCTGGGTTGAGAGCAAGAACATTCTGTTTTTTTTTTTTTTAACTGGAGAGGATAGATCTCTCATTCCCATTTAATTCTTTCACCAATCACGTGTGACTAAGAAGACCAAGAAAATTTTCATTCACATCTAATTAGTCCATCATGCGTGACTAAGAAGAACAAAAAAGGGTAAAACATAAAACAATGTTGAGTGCTTGGAGATATAGAAAAAGTAACTACCAAGTTTCAGAATTAAAGACCAAGTTTCAGCATTAGACATGCCCATGGTAGGGTAACCACCCCGGTCAAATGCTACCTTTGTGATTCCTTTCTCCAAACAGTTCTTAGCAATGATTTCGCCAACCCTCTTTGCCACTTCAATTGTAGCCTGTAGGTCTAGAAGAAGAATAATCAAATTCTTCAGATATGGGTTTCTGCATTGTTGAAGCTGAAGCAAGGGTGTGCATCTTAGTGTCATCGATCACCTGGACATAGATATGCTTGTTGGAGCGAAAGACAAACAACATTGGCCTCTCTGGTGTCCCTTCAACCTTCTTTCTAATACGGGCATGTCGAGCAAGATTGTCTTCGCTCCTGGTTGTGGCCTTTTGCTTCAATAACCAGAGATAGACTTGCTTTCGCTGCTACGAATTTGGGTCCAAGAGTGAGTTATTGTGAAGAAGCGAACGCACTATGAAGTCACTGTGAAGGAAGGAAAGAGAACCAGACATGATTTCTCCTCTCCCTCTCTCTCTCTCTCGCTCGCTCACTCGGCTTACTGTGCCATTTTGGGCGCCTAAGGGCATTTCGGTCAAAAAAATTTGTTTAACAGGCTGAGTCACCTTTTGTAAAATAAAGCAACCCAATTCCTATTAATTATATAAATATTATTATAATTAGATATATATAATTATATAATTATATAAATATATAATAGTAATTATAAATATTGTTAATAATTAGATATCGAATCGTTCAAACCGTTTTGACCATTTTTTATTTTTTTGTCAGAACAGGCCAGCCATTCGGTTCGAACCGTTCAACCCGATAACCGGACCCATGACCGGTCTGGTCTCCGGGTCGGTTTTAAAAACCATGATGTTATGTCATTCGAGCGTATGACTCATACAACCTGAAAATGTAACCATTTTGGCCACCGATTTTCGGGTCGACGGTTCAACTATCTAGTTTGAACAGATGGCCCGTTCTGACAACAAAACTCAAAAAAATAGAAAAAACGGCCAAAAACCATTGAACAAGTCAACGGGTTCACGGTTCGACCACTCAGGTCAATGGGTCGTTAACTGATTCAACGGTTTTTGGCTAGGGACTGGGATTGGGGTAAAATGGAACTAGTTGCTTGGACGGTTCCCAATTAAAAAAAAACGGACAACCTGTTTTGACAACAAAAATTACAGGCAAAAAATTGAGTGTATGAGGTCCATTAAGCAGTACAATATGTGTTATGTCATTCGAGGATGTGACCCATACGACCTGAAAATGGAATTGTTCTGGCTGCCGGTGTTCGAGTCGATGATTTGACTGTTCGGTTTGAACAGATGACCCGTTCTAATAACAAAAAATAAAGAATTAAAAAAAAAACAACCAAAAACCATTGAATAGGTCAATGGTTCAACTGCCTAGGTCAATAGGTTGTTAACCGATTCAACACTTTTTGGCCAGGAACTGAGATTAGGATAAAACAGAACCGGTTTTCTGGATGGTTCCCAATTAAAAAAATAAAAAAGGCCAAAAACCATTTTACAGGTCAACGGGTCGATGGTTCGACCGCTCGTTCCCATTTCGTATTAATTATATAAATATTGTTAGATATTTAGATATATATAATTATATAATTATATAAATATATAATAGTTATTATAAATATTGTTAATAACTAAATACCAAACCATTCGAACGGTTTTGACCATTTTTTATTTTTTTATTTTTTGTCAGAACAGGCAAACCGTTCGACCCGGTAACCGGACCCTTGACCGGTTTGGTCTCCAGGTCGTTTTAAAAACCATGATGTTATGTCATTCGAGCGTGTGACTCATACAACCCGAAAATGGAACCGTTCTGGCCACCGGTTTTCGGGTTGACAGTTCGACCGTCTGATTCGAACGGATGGCCCGTTCTAACAACAAAAATTAAAAAAAAATAAAAAAATGGACAAAAACCATTGAACAAGTCAACAAGTTGATGGTTCAACCACTCGAGTCAATGGGTGGTTGACCGATTCAACGGTTATTGGCCAGGGATCAGGATTTGAGTAAAACGGAACTAGTTGAGTGTGTGAGGTCCATTAAGCAGTACCATGTGTGTTATGTCATTCGAGCGTGTGACTCATACGACCTAAAAACAGAATCATTTTGGCCACCAGTTTTCGGGTTGACGGTTTGATTGTTCGATTCGAACAGATGGCCCATTTTGACAACAAAAATTAAAAAAATATAAAAACGACCAAAAACTATTGAATGGGTCAATGGCTCGACCACTCAGGTCAATGGGTCATTGACCAATTCAACAATTTTTTGCCAGGGATCGAGATTAGGATAAAACGGAATTGGTTTCCTAGATGGTTCCCAATTAAAGTAAATAAAAACAGCCAAAAACCATTTTACGGGTCAACAAGTGATGGTTTGAACATTCGAATCAATGGATGATTGACTGATTCAACAATTTTTTACCAGGGACCGAGTCAATGGGTCGATGGTTCCATTCCAACCCCCATGAAGCAAGGCCCCTCAGCTAGTATTTAGGTTATTATAAAAGAAAGAGAGGGTGAAAGCTTTAACCTCTCATTTCTCATACATGTGGTAACAATAAATATCATGACTCAAACATTTTTGCTATATGGGTAACTCGAAAATGGGTAAAAAACCCGTAATAGTCATCATCTTCTCCCGGATTCAGAATACAACTTCTATAAAAGTGATATCCATTTGGATTGGAATCATGAGGAACTCAATCTTCCATTTTTGGATCAATTTGAACAAGAGCTTTTTATGTTGTAATTTGAACCATAAGATGGCCAATTTGGGAGGTGGTTTCTTGATTTGTTGATTGCAATAGTGATCACTTTGATCAGAGTAATCATTTGCGCTTGTTGATCATTATTGTTCAAATTTTGGTTGAAACTATAAAAGCTTTTGCTTTTTGGTTATTCTGATTCTTGTTTAGTGAATGGACAATATCTTGTTGACCCTGTTTTTTATGATAACAAACTTAATGAGAGTATTGATGATGTAATTAAGTATACAACGAATCTTTAGTTAGTTTTGTTGGACCAAAAATGTATCAAAGATAGAATGCTACCAAAGATTAAGTGGAAAATCTATTGATTTGGCTGCTTGTGCTTCAAAGATATCTATCCCATCATTATCTCTTTAAGTTGAAGAAGCTCCAAGCAATTCAAGCATAAAGCTATTGAAGAACTTAAAAGTTTATAGAGTTGTTCAAAGGAAATCTATTATAACATCTCACTAGGGAAAAGACTACATCAAGTTATGCTCAATTTGTATTTATATTTTATGATCTAAATGTAATCAATTGTGTAATGCATTCACTAGATGCTTAAAAGACTAAACTCAGTATAATTAACCTTAGAGACTGACTACAAACTTCAGTGGGTTTTGTTCCTATGTTTTCTTGAGCTTAAAAAATAATATTATAATTAGGAAAATACATTTTAAAAGGCACTAGTGGAATAGTTTTCAACCTTTTAATAAGAATCACCAAGGTTTTTAGTTAAGTTTTGGGTTGTCTATTAGATAAGACTAGTCTAATTATGAAACATAGTCAATTGCCCCAGATAGTATAGTCTGCTAACTATGACAGTTGAAGCATGAAGTATCCTAATTTGATGATAGTAGTTGACTACTCAAAAAATCATAGTTAATTAACATAGGCAAACTAAGTTCAAGTGATCTCATTTAGTTGATATTGAGGAACTAATCAACTAAGAGAGAAAAATGATTCCTCCCTTCATCA